GATATCCCGGGGCTAGGGAATTCGTTTTTATGTTTTTTTTTTTAGGAGCGACCCTGACTGCCATAATTATTATTTGATGCTTCGGCCCGGCCGCGTAGAAATTATTAAGGGTAAATAATGTCCGTATGGAATTAATACATGAGGATTCAAACCCGTCTGTGCTTTCTTGTTGTCGATGCTATTTTCTTTGTTAAGAATATAATTATATATATTTTGTGGCCTGGTTTTGTATTGTAAAAGGGCCTTTGAAGGAATGGGTGTTATCCTAACAACCCCTTGCGACTTCCCCCCCCCCCCCCCTTTGTTCTTGTGTGGAATTTATGACATTTGATGGCTATCTTTCTCCTGCCTTCTGACCTTTGAAGCGAAGTGTGTCATTCAGACTGTCTCCTCGACAGACCTGTTCTTCACCTGAGGATGGCTGCTTGCGTTGTGGCCGAAACGTCGTGAGAATTATTTTATTATGCTTTTATTTTTATTATTTTATTATTTCCATTCTACATGACTTTACCGAAAGAAACCAAGTAGATGAACTCCTTCCACTGTTTAGAGGTATTGGAAAGATGTGTGCCCTTTTGGCAACATGGAGAAGCATTGGGAGAAAGTAGCACTGCTGATTTTGGGGATGAACTGTGTAGACTCGTCCGAAGGCATCAGATTCACCGTCAGGCAGCACGTCGCTTCCATTTTTTTTTTTATCAGTCCATGTATCGTAGGAGGGAACTTAATGGAAGAGCAGGTTGGCAGCAAATGGGTCACTTGGGCACAAAACAAAGAACGCTATAAGGGTGGTATCTTGTGGAGCTAGGGCCTGTTGTAGGGCATTTGGTGATGTAGATGCGTTGACCATTTTGGAGGTGAAGCGCCAATGGACGACTGTGGGGGAACGGTCATGGATTGGGGAAGCCAAGAATTCAGCAAATGGCCTCATTGTTGCTGATGTATGTTCCTTGGAAAAAAAGTTGAGCTCATGCACACTTTGCCCCTCTGTTTTGTAAGGCAAAGACAACCATGTTCAGAGCCTTTGTTGATGTATTGGCAAACATATTTGATGGCTTTTTTTAGAATAGCAGAATTCACATTAAAGTGGGCCTGGAAGATCTTGCACAGAAGAGGGCAGTAGGGAACGATCCACCGGTTTTTAAACGTTAATTAGCGAGTTAGTGGCAGGTCTGAGCGTTATTTGCAATCCACCATGCTCAGTATTTCTGTGACGATGATAGAGGATAGCCATCAAGGGCTGACTGAGTGTCTTTTAAGTAGTTCCGTGGATACCTCTTGGTACACCCGTGGTCTTGCATACATGGCGCATTTGGATAGAACTGGCCACATTGGCCATGGACCATTTGGTAACAGACCACATAGAAAAAGGGCAGGGTGTTGATGGGGGTGAGGTAGCCCGAGCACTGATAAATGTGTCAATGTGACTTGCATGAATTGTTTCCCTCATCCATAGCAAAATGTGAGCATGAGGAAGACGACGTTTTTGCCACCCAATGGTGTGCAAGTTACTGCTTGTCTATCCAAAGACACCGCATTTGTTGGTCGTAATAAGCATAATGAGGTCATAAATTTTGAGTTTTAAGACCCTCGCTAAGATGTCATGTCTGTCTGGTGGCTTTTGGTTTGGATAAGGTAAACCTGGATCTCCATTCATTTGGGATTGCAAGTGAAGGTGATGAAGAGATGGGGCGTGGCATATTGGCTGATGTATGTCATGGCATCCTGAGTCTTCTCATGCATGTGTAATAAAGGTCGTTGAGGCGACTTCTGGAATCCGATCTTTATTTACTTTTCATTACAGCTCTCCTTCACGCTGCTGACCGGCAGTGTGAGAGGGATAGATAGAGAGAGAGACGTGCAGCCACGTGGCAACTTGGAGCCCCACTCTCGCGTGGCCTCCTCCTCCGTTCGTTCCAGTTCTGACCACGTGTTGTTTGTCTCCACCCCTATTTAATACCCGGGTCACGTGGTACGTTTCCACCAATCCTGGTTAGCCTCTATGGAATATTCCAGACTCCCTCGTAGGCTCCCCATTGGCTGTGGCCAAAGCCAGCAAAACCAATCTTCTACTTACAGCTGTCACCTTTCCATTACATCAGGGCCACGCCCCTAGGCTTCCCCCATTGGCTATTGACCAGGACCGGCAGAGCCAACATCATGACGAGTTGTGATACGTCAGTGAGCCTGATATATCCTCACATTACACATGCATCTTGGTGGAGCTGTGAAGGATGAAGGCAAAATAACTAATCAGCCCACATTGTGACCGTTTGCATCTCCTTTGGCATTGATGGCATCCCAAGAGATGAGCATACTGTTCACACGCAGGGCGGTTTTGATTCAGTTGAATGTAAAGAAGGCGCTCACTCTTAATGTTGGCACTAATCGACAACATATTGGTGAAAGAGGTTGGCATACCATAATATGTGGTTTCCTCCTCTGTCCATGATCACGAAGGAATAGAAGTTTTTTTAGAGGAGACAGTTTCGTGAGGATGTCTTTGTCTTGCAGCTTTGTAATTGGAGGAATTTTAACGTGGTACCCATCTTGGCCTTGCGACAGGAAAATGTGTTATTGTAGGGCATCGTATGCTCTGTTAGTGTCAGGAAATTGTGCGATGGTGTTTTCTTGGTAGGAAGAACAATGTTTCTCTCACAATGTTCCTCACCCACCGTAAGAAAGCAAGGTCAGCAATATTTCCGTGCTCCCCGCTTTGGTGGAAGTATGGGTGATGTTCCCACGAATGTAACAAAACGATAAACGAAATGCAATGGGCTGTAGCTAAGAAAGTTAAACGTATTTAGCAGTATAACATATTAATCAGCATCGCAGTACTATAGCGTGACATGAGCAATCGAAACAATAGAAATGCATTGAAGAAATAAGCTGAAATAAGTCTACATTAAAGAGCAGCAGTACGCACAGGTAATTTGAGAAGCAGGCTACAGTCTAGATTATAGACTGCCAGTAGGGTGACTCAATGACATAAGCATTGCCACAGTCTACATAAAAAGCTGGCAATATGGTCAGCAGCTAAAAAAGCAGGATACAGTCAGCATGAAAAGTTTGCAGTACACTGAGTGAGGTAAAGAAGCGGGCAACAGATCATAGACTGGCATACACTCATAATGGCCAAAAGCAAAATTAGCAGTGTAGATAATAGTGCCAGTGCACTGACGTTAATTAATCAGCAGGCAGCAGGCCACAGCACAGACTGGCAGTACTGTCGCAGTGTCATAAAAACACCTAAAAAGGAAATACCTTATTTTCCCGCATATAACCCGTGGGGTATACCACTTTTTACAAACAAAACAAGACCCTGCGGGGTATATGGAGGTGCGGGCTATCCCAAAAAATATTTTACACGTGTGACATGTCATACTCGTAAAAAAAAAATCATGGTAGGACTATCCACTATGCAACACTTACCTTTGACTAAAGCACTGCTGAATAAACCACTCACACAAAAATTGCACATGTTATCACATGTTAAATTATTCGAATTGTTTGTACAATGAAACGACAATGTTTGAAGTGAACGCACTTTGTTTACCGGCGACGGGAGAGCTGGGGGGAGAGAGGTGGGGGTAGAGAGAGGTGGGGGTTGGGGGGTGGGGCAGCTGGGGGGAGAGAGGTGGGGGGTGTGGGGGCGAGGGCAACGGCGTTACCGTAGTTCCGCTATTATCTGCGCAGTGCGCAATCTACCAGTGCTAAAATTGTACTTATCGACCAGTTATGTGTTACTTATTTATTGGATATTTACTTTTGTTACTTATTAACTATATTACGTTCGCTCGTTTCCGGTTAGTTTGTTTCTTTATGAACGTTATGATTTGAATGTTAACAATTGATAGTGGAATGTATTACAAATGTAAACTTAGTATTAATATGATGGCATTAAGCTGCGGTAACGACGTTAAAGATATGAATGCATGCGGAGTAAATGGAGGTGCGGGCTATCTGAAATTTGTTTTACACAAAACGCTATTTTTGCGGGGTATATGCGTCGTGGGTTATATGCGTCTGTGGGTTATATGCGTCTGTGGGTTATATGCGTATGCGGGCTATATGCGGGGAAATATGGTAATTAGCAACCTAATAATGAAATTAGTTTTCTGCACACAAACATTATTATTGTAATATTTGCCAAATTATTTGTTTCATAATAGTAAACAATGAACCTGAGTTCTTAGCGAAAGATTCAATAAAACTGTACTTTACATTGCCATGGTGAGGCCTCGTCCCGTGCAGAGCCCGCGGCCTCGCCTAGATTGCCCAACCGGAGGAGGTAACACATTTCCAGGCTGGGGGCTGGGCCGCACTCCCCACCCACGCTGCAATAATGCTATGTAAGCGCTTCAATATTAATATATACGGACTTTATATCAGTAACTGCACGCATTGGGTTGGTGGAGGACATAAGACCGTGAAGAATGAACCTCAGCGTTGTGTGTATATTTTTTAAGCATTGTTAATGCGAATGAAATTTTTTAGCGACCGTGTGTGCGTTGCTAGAGGCAACTTCTGTCAGCGTTTCGCGCATGCGCAATTGTGTGCTTTGTCCCGCGCCGGGCGGCAAATTTACATAAATAAATAAAATAATCGCACAAAAACGCTATTGTAACAAATTTTAAGGTAACGGGACGGTAAAACAGATAGGGCTTGCCCACGCGCGGGCTTCCGGTGTGGTAGCTGGCAAATTTTTGTTTACGTAAACCCCACATTTGAGAGCCAAATCCCTCGCAAGCGCACGTGCGCCGACAGACGGACGGACAGTCAAAAAAATTATTTTATAGGTTAGATTATGCAAATTGTATTCACTCAGCAGCAACATCACCCCCTACTGCAAACACTTGGCAGAACCCTCTGGAAACAAATATTCTTCAGATTCGGTAAGGCCTGCCTGGGTAAATAAGCAGAATAAAATATTTGTAACTAGGAAACGAGTCTTGGCTGTTTTGATGTGTTGATGTGCGCTGTGTGTTTATGTGCATCAGCTTCTGGCCTCTGGCTGATGAACCGGGCATCAACCCGGGCGACCTCGACTTGACCCCCCGGCCTGAGCGGAGGCTCCTGTTCCAGGGGAAAACCTTCCAGTTCCTGCACGCCAAGCAGGTGCCATTCCATGCTTGTTCCGCTCCACACGTGTTTCGTTCCAAGCGTGTGCCGCTCCACACGTGTTCCGCTCCATGCGTGTGCCGTGCCACGAGTCTCAGGGTCAGGATCATGTTCTTGGCTCGGCTCCGTCTTGGCCTCTAACTCAGCCCAGCTCAGGCCGTGAGCCACTCAGTCGTTTCCAAAGAAGCGTGAACAGGGGGAGAACATACCCTGAATTCCAGTAAGATGGAATTCAGGGCAAGCCACGGTGGCGAGATGTTAACGGCCTCGCCTGATATGCAAGAGGTCGTGGGTTCGATCCCGACCCAAACGCCTGCTGTATATTTGTAGTTTGCGTCTCTTTCTCTCCCGGTGTCTTGTGGAATTTTCTCCGGGTCCTCCGGTCATTTGGGACCAAGTCGCTACTGAAAAAGAGCTTTATAGCTCAGTGGGCGTTACCTGGTAAAAATATTTTTTGTTTAATAGTATTTATTTTAGCCTCCAATAAGAAATAAAAATACAATGATTTGCCCAGAAAAATCCGAGCGGGGCGCAGTGCACGCATAAGAACACTTTAGTAGAAGCGACGCCGACGTGACCACGCGAAGTAGGAGATGGTGCGTGTCGTGTGTGCACCGGCGATCTTGAAGCTGCACGTGCGTACCGGGCCCTCCGCCCACGGCGCCTGCAGCCTTTGGCGTTGTCACAGGAGAGCGTTGTATGTACGCATATGTTGTGACTGTGATTGTCAGTGTGTGGCAGAGGTGTGGACTCGAGTCATGTGACTTGGACTCGAGTCAGACTCGAGTCATGAATTTGATGACTTCAGACTCGACTTGGACTTGCATAACAATGACTTTGTCCCACCTCTGAGGTGTGGACTCGAGTCATGTGACTTGGACTCGAGTCAGACTCGAGTCATGAATTTGATGACTTCAGACTCGACTTGGACTTGCATAACAATGACTTTGTCCCACCTCTGGTGTGTGGTGCCGGGCTTACGAAGCCACGGCGGATAATGTGTTGGCATTATGTGTAGCCCGCTTACTGGACGTAGTACCAGCCCTAGCGGGGCTTGGGTGAGCGATGGTCAGCACGGAGACACCACGTACAGTGTGCGGTGTGGGCTCCCGGTGGGGGAGCGAGAGGGAGTTTCAGCCAGCCAGGGTTACGTTGGGGCATGATACGCTGCGTGACTTGCCGACACGTGACCGGATGATATTGGAGGGGGGCACCGGTGGACGGGGGCCTATGGGCGGTCACGTGGTATTAAAGAGCTCTCGGGGAGCTTTCAGGAAAGACCTCGAGAGATCTAGAAGGTGGGCGGGGTGAGGGGCGGAGCCAGTCCCAGCCCAGGCCGATATAATGGGGGCCCCGTGAGGGGCTTGGGGTTCTTCTTGTTGCTGGTGATGAAGATCCACGTCAGGTAAAAGAAGCCTCTAGCCACGCAGTCCGGGACCCAGCTTGTGGTCCGGGCCGGGATAGCGAACCATGCCTAGTTCTGCCGTAGCGTGGCTAGATTAGCATTCAACACCCAAGTGTAGGTTGTGTTGTGTTATGTTGAGTTCTGAATAAATAGTGTTGCTCCCAAGACAACATCTGCGACTCAGTTGGACTCACTACATATACATTAAACTTATTTTGGACCTTACATAGCCAACCGTGTGAATTGGAGGTGCCGACGTGGGCCGTCTTCTGTGTTCCAGCACAAGCGGTTGGCGGTACCGATCGCGCTGGCGGGCGGCGCGGCATTGTGCCTGTGCTCCCCCGGCCAGCGCGCCGAGCCGCGGCACGGAGAAGGTTTCTGCGTGGTGGAGCCAGAGGCTGGCTGTTCGCAGCCCTCGTCCCAGGTGCTGGCGCAGGACGCGCGAGCGTGGGCTGCCCAAGTCGGCGTACGCCTCCGCACGTGAGTCCAGTGGCGCTCGAGGGGGCCACCGGCCGCTCGTCGTCGTCGCGCACGGAGGGCGTCCTCGGGAGAAACGCGACCATGCGGCGTGATGCGGCATGACTCGGCGGGCCCAGTGGAAGCCCAGCGGCGGAGCGTTCACCGCTCGTTGCAGACGTCCACGGTTCGGATCTGGCAGGCCGCCCGTGGTCAATGCTGCCGTCGCATGCCCCGCGTCATGATGCAAATTTTACCAATTAGAAAATTACCGGCAAATTACTCGATTGGGAAACACGTAGAAATCGTCGCCCCCTGCTCGGAAAAATGGCCTTGAGACTCGGTGAGGCTTTCGTGGGTAAACGGTGTCACCAGCACAAAGGAGATACACTTGCAAAGTTTGACATTCTCACAAACTTCTGACAAGGGTTTATTTATCATCATCGTCATCAGCAGCAGCCATGATCAATCCACTGCTGATATTGCTTGTATGACTGCTGCTGATGAATCAAAGAGGTGGGTGTTTCTGGGAACAGTGTATTGAGTGCTGATGCTTGATTTCAGCATTTGGTATGTGGGAAGAAGTTGGCATGTGCTTGCGGGGCATGCGTATCATTGTTGGTATTTGTGTCTGATATCTAATAACTGGTATTTACTTTCAATATTCCTGTATATGTAGCAATATACATCAGACATTCATAGGCACCTTAGAAGTGCAGTGGGTATTCTTAGCGTTACACGCGGTTACCACTACTCACCTGGTGTAGCGTCAGCCATTGGTCAACAGGGGGTAACGGCGAGTACGGCCTGTATCAAGTAACGCCGTTAGGCCACGAAACCCAGAAGGTGGTTGGGAACCGGAGATACACACCCCAGGCCCCCGGTGGGGGCAGGGGGATTATGCAATAGTCCAGGTCCCTCCAGAAGGTTCTAGAGAGTAGGCGTGGCCAGGGGCGGAGTGACCCTGGGAGCTGTATATAAGGCGGACCCCTGAACGGGTTTGCCGTCGTCGT